CCCCCCCCCCCTCCATCTTCGACTTTCTCTAGAGGCGGCTGCATGCGGGCGGTGGCCCGTGCTTCAAGGAAAACGTGGCTTTCCCACCGTACACTGCGGCACGCGGGGGCTGTGGGGCGCCTCCATTAGTACAAGCCAACGAGGCCAAAAGTAGGAATTATAACAGGCGATATGCATGTACATTCATTCCGACAAAATTCCATGATTTGAAGGGTGGCGCGTTTCCACGGCAGTGACCGTGACATGTTTTCTTTGCTTTTTTTTCGTTGCTTTGTTTTTTCTGCGTGCGTGCAAATACGCACACTCACAACCTTTGCCTTTCCCCCCACGTAATAATGATAAAAACAAAATAGACGCATAGGCAAAAAGGGTTACGTTGTTTATTGCACGCACACACACGCACGCACACACACACACACACACACACACACGCTGGACGGTGCTGCCCGGTTAGCCTAGGCGACCAACGGCGCATAACAAACGGACTGAGGAATGCCCTCCTTCAACTTCCACCCCGGATTCGCTGGGCACGGTATGCGATGCAATCCATGGAATCCAACGCAGTACATCCTCACGGCTGCCGAGCACTTTGGTGTGGCGGGGTCGGGCAAGGTGTACATTCTGAATACGGCGCCAGGGGTGCCGCCGGGGTCCCCGGTCTCCCTTTTCGGGTGTTGGGGGACAAGCGACGGGGCATTTGATGCATGTTTCAGCGAAGTGGACCAAAATGTTGTGGCGGTGGCCTGCGGTGATGGTCTGAAGCTGTACAACGTGGCTGAGTCCGCAAACCGGGATGGCGCTCCGCCCCTAGTGCACATCACGGAGCACCAGGCGGAGGTGGTGGGGGTGACATGGAACCGTGACAGCTTCCTCTCCTGCAGCTGGGATGGCGCGGTGAAGTTGTACCAGGCGGCCAACCCGGGCGTGTCTGCCATGACCTTCCAGGAGCACGTGAAGGAGGTGTATGAAGTTTCCTGTTCCACGCGCAACCCCGCCTCATTTTTGTCAGCCTCTGGGGACGGCACGTGGAAGCTGTGGGACGCGCGTGCACCGCGCTCCGTCTTGACGCAGGTTGGACACAACCATCAGATTATTCTCAGCATTGACTGGAATAAGTACGACGGGAGCATCTTTGCCACCGGCGGCGTGGATCGTACAGTGCGGCTGTGGGACCTTCGCCGGCCAACTCAGCCCCTCGCCTCCCTCCCTGGGCACGACAACGCCTGCCGCCGTGTGCGCTTCTCACCCCACTCGCGCGTGCTGCTGGCGTCGGCCGGCTACGACTGCCGCGTCTGCATCTGGGACCTCAACCAGCCACAGCGCCCCCTCACCGCCCGCTACGCCCACCATCGCGAGTTTGTCGTTGGGCTGGAGTGGTCGCTGGCCGTGCCGAACGCGATTGCCTCCGCCTCTTGGGACGGACAGGCGTTCTTCTGGGTGACCGGGCAGCAGGTCACGCCGTCGCCGCCGCTGCAGCAACTCCCCGCCGCCGTGCCGCCGCCGCGGGTCCGGGTGCCACGAACGAAAGTACTCCCGGGGCTTCCGCTTGCGCCGCCCACCATTCCCGTCCCGCAGTAGGGCGCGGGGGCCAACAAAAGTAGAAGGCGCAAAGGCGGGGATTAAAGGGAGGACGTAGAAGAAAAAAAAACGCAACAGGGCAGTAATATATATATATATATATACATATATTTGTTCCGTACAATTGAGAGAGCGGACCGGCGCGTGCTCCTCAGACGATGCTGATGCTCTTGCCTGCCTGAACGAGTCCATTCTTCGTAAAGGAAGAAGTAAAGAGACGAAGAAAAAAAACTGCAACAATGTGGAGAGTCGTTTTTTTTGGGCCCGAGTCCTTGTGGTAATGCCGCTGGATTTCGCGTGTGGCTCATTAACACACATTACTTATTGTTGTTTTGCTCGCTGTTTTTCTTTCTGCATGCAGGTTGGGCGTGTTTGCTGCCATTAGGCCTGGTCGAGATCTGGGGGGGGGGGCATAGGACGCGCAGGCAGGAGGCACAGGGAACGCCAGCAAACGTGCACACGCACACGGCTAGGCACACCACCCGCAAGAGAAGGGTGCAGCGATGCCACCCACCCCCACCCCTCGCCGGAAGTGGCTCGAGACGGAGCTGGTTTTTAGTGTGCAGGACCGCCGCAATCGGGCCCGCGCGTTGCAAGAAATACGTCAGAGGAAAGCCGCCCTCTTGTCCCTCAGCACGGCGGATGTGGCACGGCGACTGCGGGCCATGCATCCACCGGAAGAAATTATGGACAGCTGCGGCAATAAGAAGGAAGCGGAAAAAAAGCATTCGAGGCCCCTTCACGCTGAGGACGCCTCTCAGATGTTTCGCCCTCCCATGTCCTACGAGCAGTGGCTGGAGGAAGGCTTTCCGGTGAGCTGCTGGAGACCCCTGCTTTCCACCGAGTTGTACCACCCACTGGAGGCGGAGCAGCAGTACCTAAGCAAGAAGTATAGCGTCGCCCCGAAGATCAAAGTAAAGCCTGGCGATGCGGCAGCCAAGCGGGGGAGCGATTAGGAGTTGAGTAAGTAATCGTTCTCGACTTGTCTGACTTTGGTGCCCCCAGGGAGAGGCGGCATGTTTGCCGGCGCCGCTGCCTGGGTGCCCGCGCATGTATAGTTCTGCACCGCCGCCCTGTTGTTTCCCCGTTACGTGGATTGCTTTACTGAGTGCTCTGAGTTGCGTTTCAAAAGCGTCGGTACTTCCCGTTCCTTGTTTTTGCACGGAATAACCGGAAAGGATATGTGTGTGTGTTCTTCTGGGCGCAACGTTTTGGTCCTTTTGTTTGAACAATTTCTTGCATTCCGTGTTTGGTGTTTTCTCCTCCGCGCCCACGCACCCTTCTGCCTGACGAAACGCGGTCGCGTCCAGCTCTCTCTAGCCGTGCGCAGCGCAGCCGGCACGTGACACTCTTACTCCTCGTGGTTTCTTTGCCTGCGGGGAGTTGGTGGGTGGGTGGGTGGGTGGGGCTGCCGCGCCGCCCCTGTGCGCGCATCCAGAAAGGACACAAATTAGACCACGCCGCAACAAGCATGCCGGCGGGGCCGCGTGTGCTGCTTCTTGGAGGCCTGGGCATGATCGGCCAGAGCCTCCTCAAGTACATTGTCGACTACGAGCTCGCGTCACACGTCCGTGTGGTGGACAAACGCGTGCCGGAGATGTGTTTCCTCCCGCGAGCCATCAGGGAGCTTTTATCGCTAGCCACCGTCGAGTTTCTCCAGGCCGACTTGTCCACGCAGGAGCACGTTGATCGTGCCTTTGCTGGGGAGCCGTTTAGCATCGTCGTGAACCTCGCCAGTGAAACCCGGCATGGACACATGGAGGTGGTGTACGAGCGAAGCATCCTGCGGGTGCGGACGCTTTGCGCGCGAACGGCCGCCAGAGGAGGCGGGTGCGAGCGTTACGTGGAGGTGAGCACTGCCCAGGTCTACGCCTCGACCAACAAGTCCCCGGCAACGGAGGCAGTTACTCCGTTAAAGCCCTGGACAACAATGGCGAAGTACCACCTGGAAGCAGAGCAGCTCGTTTCTTCCATCTCGCAACTCCCCTGGGTGATTGTGCGACTCCCAATTGTCTATGGGCCAGGCGATATTGGTGGACTTATGCCACGCATTGTCTGCGCTGCAGTGTACGAAAAAACAGGGGAGTACATGGAGTTCTTGTGGGGCAAGGACCTGCGCATGCACACGGCACATGTGCAGGATGTTGTGGCGGCGATATGGCACATTGTATGCGCCGGCGCCACCCACGAGGTGTACAACGTCGTGGATGACGGTGACACAACGCAAGGGGCCCTCAACGCCGTGCTGGAGTCCATGTTTAACGTCAAGACGGGCTTTTTTGGAAGATTGATGTGCAGTATGGCGGCCCTCAACTTGGAGGCTGCGGTGGAGGAGGCCAACGAGGGCCTCATGCAGCCGTGGACGACGATGCTGAAGGAGTGCGGCATCCCCTTCACTCCCCTCTCCCCCCACCTGGAGAAGGAGCTTCTGTCCGCCGACGCGCTGGCCGTCGATGGCTCGAGGCTGCGGGCACTCGGCTTCCGCTGCAGCTGTCCGCGGGTCACGAAGGAGTTGCTGGAGGACAGCGTGGACTACTGGGTCTCGCTCGGCCTATTTCCAAAGTGACCTCTGCTGTTCTCTGCTTCGTGTGCTGAAATGTTTGCGGAGCGAAGTGACGGGCGTCAGCGCACCAAATATGTGCCTGGCGGCTTCTCAACTAGCGGTGGACAGAAATAAGCAGGCCCAGGGGGAGGGGGAGCAAGAAAAAAGGAAAAAAAAACAGTGCAAGGGGCCTTTTTTCCTTTCTTATTATCATTCTTCTTTCTGTTTCGAAGGAAAGTTGTGCCTTGCACGGATGGCTGACTCAAGGTCTCATGTCTCGCACTCTCCCGCTCTCACTTCTCTGCCTTTGTTTTCTTTTGCTTCCTTCTTGGCGGCGGCGGTGGGGCAGTGCCTCGCCCCACGTGTGTGTGTGTGCATTTATATATACATATAAATATATACTTGTGTTTATTCTTGATTTTTCATTTGTCTGCAGAGGAGGAAAATAAAAAGGGGGGAGGAGGATGTTGTGCCTGACGCGGCTGAGAGCCAACGTCAGCAAAGCCGCCTTCCTGGAAATGGTGAAGGAACTCCGTTTCCGCACGGAGGCCCCAATTGCGGACTGCAGCGCCGCGCTGAAGGAGACGGCGGGCGACGTGGAGAAGGCGATGGAGGTGCTCCGCAAGAAGGGCTCGGCGCGGGCGATGAAGAAGCAGTCGCGGGAGACGCTGCACGGCTCTGTCGTCGCCTGCGTCGGCCCCCCCTTCGGCGCGGCCGTCATTACTGTCTGCAGCGAGACCGACTTTGCCGCGCGTAGCCCCCCGTTCCAGAGCGCCTGCGCCAAGGTGCGGGAGGCGCTGCAGCGGCGGATTGTCGACAGCAGGGGCGATGTGCTGGCAGATCCGACGGAGGCCCATCGCTCGCTCGTGGAGGCGACGGCGGAGGACATTCGGGCCTCCATCGCCGTCTTGGGCGAAAACGTTACCGTCAAGTCGGTTGAGCCTCTGCGGCCGACGCCGCATGCGGCGGAGCACGTTGCCATCGGCTTCTACACCCACGGCGCGCTGGAGGTGCCGGAGGTCGGCCGGATTGCCGGCGTCGTCGCCGTGAACCGCCTCGACCCCGCCGCGGAGGTGCGGGCGAGTACGCTGACGGATGTCGCAAGGCACTTTGTGGCATGTAGTGGCGCGGAGGGGAACTACGCCCACCAAAACTTTTTCGGAACGGAGGAGACGGTGGGACAGTGGCTGAAGCGCCACGGTCTCCGCTTTAGCAGCAGCCTGGTGGTGGAGTTTGGCAAGGAGCCGGTGAGGCACACGGCTCCCCCGCCCCGCCCCGCCACGAAGTAGCCTGGGGGTTGGCGTAGCGACACCTGCCATGTGTGCAACGGTACAAAAATGAAATACATGGCAGTCTTTTAGGCGAGGGAGGGAGAAAAAGTGGGGCAGGGGGCAGGGGGAAAAACAAAAAACACACACACGCAGGAAGAGAAAGAGACAGGGAATGTTCACGGTGTGGGCTCAGGAATGGGTGGCAGCGATGGCTATGCTTTTGTGCGTCATCGCTGCGGTCGGGAGGCTGAAGCTGAGGCTTCCAGCTACTCACTACACGTCCTTCCACAAATAACAATCAAAATAATAAACCCACGATGCATTGACAGGGTTGGGGCTCTTACGGATGTCATTTTTTTTATTTGTTGATTTTACGCTCTTCCTTCCCTTTCCCCTCCTTCTCCCTGCCTTGCTGTTTCACACACGTGTGTGGTAAATCTCCCTGTGCGCGAGTGAGCGACGCGGTGTGGTGCGGTGAATCACATCCATGCCGGCAACGGAGAAAAAGAGCGGAGTGCGCTCGGCCCCCGCTTTGGAATACCCGCACGATTTCTACCGGACCATGCGGTTTCACCACTGGAGGCGATTTTGCGAGTTTTGTCAGTACTATGACCCCCTTGCCGTGCCCAACTGGCGCGCATGGCTGCAGCAATGCTCAGGGCACGGGGAAGTGCTGCTTGAGGAGCTGCGGCAGATTTACGGTCCTGAGCCTGCGCAGCTCAGTGCGCTGGAAAGGGCCAGGACGCGTGGGTCGCCCGACGGCCCACCTGCGACTACGGCTGAGGAGGGCGTTCTGTTCCAGGCCCTGTTTGCGGCCAACGCCCAGGCAAAGCAGCGCGAGGAGCATCGTGCGGAGTTGGAAAAGGAGGTGGTGGTCTTCTTGGCGGAGAAGGGCATCTGCTCAAGCGGCGTCTCTGCCCGCCTGGTGGACAGCTTCGGCGGGGACGGGGCGGAACTGTTCCGCGCGCTAGAAGGCGCGCTGGGCCGTCAGCGGGCACCGTCGTTGCGTGCCGCGCCCCCACTGCTAGTTGATCTGCTCTCGAGTAGAAGCCACGCCGACCCTGGCTGGAGGAACGGGCCTGGCCTTCTCAGGCATCCGCTGCGACTCGCGGATGCTGCACTCCCCGCAGCTTCAAATTTTTTGGAGTGGTCGGAGCGGCCGTCGCCTGGTGCGGCTCCGGTGGGGCCCACCTCTGCAGCCCCTGCCTTTGCCACCTTCCACGCGCCCAGCGGGGGCGCGCACGTGGCGGTGGGACGGCCGGGCGAGCAACACACCGGTTCTTCAGTTTGCGACACGGAAGGCACCACCCACTGCACGTGGTTCAGTCGCGGCGGTAGGCATGCATCCGATGGGCCGGAGGGGAAGTGAGTGAAGTACTCTGTTTGCTGCGAGTTTTGTTTTTGCATATTTGCCTCTCCCTGCATCGGTAGGGTTTTGTATCGTCACCAATTCGTTTCTCCGAACACCCCCGCACGGATGGCCGGGATGGGTGGGGAGGATTTCCACAATTGTGGGATTCTGCTGTCCTGGTTTTTGTTTTTGCTTCTTCCTTGCCGTCTGCCGGCGGGGGCGGATTCCTCTTCTGCTGCACCGTTTGCCGCCCGCACGCCCGCAGAGGATAAAGAGCCCGAGGGGAAGAGGAGAGGCGAAGAAAAAAAAAAAGGAAGGAAAAAAGGCGGAGCCGAGAAGTCGGTGGGCGCAAAGCAGGGGGGCGGGGTGCACCGTGTGGAACGCGCTTGCATGCGAACGGCGTGGCAGGCCCACCACGGCAATGCTCACCGGTCATGACATTCACTTCGTCCGCCGTGAGCTGGCGACGGCGCTTTGCACGTCGCCGCGCTGCCTCCTCGTATACCCGCTCGGGAAGAAGAGCCGGCAGCGGGTGGGGGTGGCGGCGAAGAACGGCACAATGTCGGTCTTTTCCGTGGGGAAGACGGCGGAGCGCGTGGCGGCGTTTGACACCGACCCCCAGAGCAAACCTGTCAGCTGCGCGACACTCTACGAGGACCAGCTGTTTTTCGTATACGGCAGCACACTTGACGCGTACTCGCGGAGGGGCCGACGCTTCTTCTCCTTTGACACCAACGTGACAGAGGTGATTCACACCCTCTTTGTCTCCACCCCCTTCATTATTTGCTGCGGCAGCTTTATGACGACAGGATTCAGAGAGGCGAGCGAGCTCGGCTTCTACATGGCGCCGGACCGCGTCAATGCCATGGTGGCATGCGTTGCCGCCGCCGCCGTGGGTGTGGCGGAGCGCAGCTTTGACGACTACCGGTGCATTCTTGGCTGCAACGACCGCACAATTCGCATGCTGCGGGGACACAAATCTATAGAGGAGGTGCACTGTGAGGCGCCTGTGACATCGCTGAGCCTCGGTGAGGGAAGTCGCAGGCTGTACTACGGGACAAGCGCAGGTTCGCTGGGTTGCCTGGAGCTGAAGAACGCCGACACCGCCCTCTCGCGCGCCTTTAGTTTTATTCCCGACGAGCACCGGGCAGCTGTCACCGCCTTGGCTGTGTACGACATCAACCTGGACGACAAGGAGGAGCTGCTGGTGGGTCACCAGGACGGCCTGCTGCAGGTCTTCTACATCCACGCCGGGGAGGGGGCTGCTCGCAGCCACCCCGTTTGCATCTGGTCTGGAAGTATGGATGAGGGCGTCGTTTCCATCGCCGCCGGCCTCATTACACACTCCCGCCGCCCAGACCTGCTGGTGCACTCGCTCAGTGGCAGTCTCACAGCCTTTACGCTGCAGGCGGTGGAGCACGCGGAGCCGGAGGAGGCGGCGGCTGCGGCGGCCGCCGCGCTGGAGAGCACAGATGCCCAAATCAGCGAGGTCTCCAAGGAAATTGAGGCCCTCAAGGAGGCCCTCGTGACCCAAACGCGGGAACTGACAAAGCAGAGCGGGGCGGGCAAACGTGGCACACCATTGCTGGCCGTCTCCTCCACCTTCAAGACCAAGGTGACGCTGTCGCAGCAGAAGGACAACCCTGCACTGCGGCTTCTGGTAGAGGTAGACACGCCGCTGGACTGCGTGGTGCTCCAGAGCGAGCTGCGGTTGCATTTTTTAGACGATGGATCCGCCGAGGTCGTCTTGCAAGAGGAGATGCCAGAGAACAACCCCTCCACGAAGTCGCTCGCCATTGTGCGGCCCTTGGAGGCACGCAGGCACAGCTGCTCCGTTGCCTTCTGGGTGGAGGATGGCCAGTGGGGTCTGCTGAGCGTCACCGCGCTGGCGATCCCCGCCCCCCGTACCGCACAAGTAAAGATGGTGCAGCTGCGGCCACTGCCTCTCTACGCGCGCGTGGGCAGAGTCGATGAGGCCGTGGCAGAAGGAAAAGGTCCCGCGGCACTTTCTACGATGGAGGTGCAGGGCGAATTTAGCGCCAGAGACATGCATAGTTGGATATTTAAACTGCTGCCTGGAACTCCCGAGATGTATCAAGAGAAATTGACCACCTTGAGCTACGAGGACACATTTTTTCACCACACGCTTGGGGTTAAATACGGCGACGGACACGCGTCGTTCACCACCGGGTCTTTGCAGGCCTTGCTGGTCACGAAGCGGTTTATTAGTTTTTGCGCCTCCGAGCGCTCGATAGAGCTGAGGTTCGCAGTGAAACTCCATGGCAGGGCGGTGCGCTTTAACCTCTCCCGCGTTGTGCCACACATTACGGGGTGCAACACGGGACTGCAAAGCCTTCGCCTCCTGGAAGCGCTGCAGGAGCTGCAGGGGAGCCAGCAGATGGATGTGGTGTGCTTCCCCAAGGAGCACCAGCAACTACTCGAGAGGGCGGACGCGGTGAAGAAGGCGCACCCGCAGGCCCTCCTCACGATGGGTTACTTGCAGAGTTCGCTGCTCTCTCTCTACGGCAGCGTGGCAGAATTCGTGCCGACGGTGCCCAAGATGAGCCCTGCCACGAAGGAGGCCTTGCTGGCGGCCGCCAACCACACTGCTGTCTCGGAGCTGACTTCAGCGCTAGAGCGGCTCTTTCTCTGTGACGAGGAAGGAGACGCGGCGGATGGCCGAAGCGGCGTGGGGGCGAGAGGAGGGTAAGACAAAAGCGGGAGAAAGAAGAAGAATAAGAAGAAACAAAAAAAAACAACAACAACGGCGGGGATAACTCTTTTTTTTTCTGTGCGTTTGATGGCCGGGTTGGACGACAGCAGCGGCGAGAAGTTCAAGGTCCTTCCGCATCGCGGGCGTTGTTGCCCCCGCCACCACCGAAGGTCAACAACCTGGTTGCTTGCGCGGAGGGCGTTTCTCGCCCACGGCTTCCTTGCAGCTCCCCCATCCGCCCCATATCTCTGTCTGATGATATCAACTTCGCCATGCATATATATGCATATGCTTATACATATCTGCTTCTGCTTCCCCGTTGATTCCACATCAGGTGGTGTGTAGGGAGTGAGGCGGATGGATCCACCGGAAGGGTCACAGCCACAACAGCAGCAGCAGCAAAGCCAAAAAAACCGTTTCTCCTTCTTGCTGCATGCCCCCGTTCATCAGGCCACGTTCTTTTCCCTGACGCTCGTCGAGGAGTTGCTGCGGTGCGCCCGCAAGGTGGAGCACGAGTTCGGTCTCCTCTCTCTCCCCCTGCCGCAGTCGCGCGAAAGTACGCGGGTACTCTCACGCATCGTGCAGGAGAAGCGGTACGAGGAGTGCTGGCCAACGCAGCACTCCGCGGCGCAGGACACACGCGGAAGTGGCCCATCCGCCTCCTACCTTCTTCGCATCGGCGTTCTCCGTGCGCTCGGGTTCCACACGCCGGGGCTGGACGACCTCGTCGACGACGCCTCCCTCGCCTTGGGGAGAGACATCGTGGCGGCCGCCCCGGCGCCGGAGGGCGCCGCAGCCGCCCCGCTCCGCTACCGGGAGGCGGCGCAGGAGGAACTGCGGCATGTGGTGCTGGGGGAGTGGTGCGAAGATCTCGTTCACTTCACGGCCTACCGCGGGTTCTCGGCGGAGCAGGCGCGGTGCGTCCTGCTCACCGCGATGCATCTCATGAACGTCCTGGCGGACCTCCCGCCGGACGCCACCGACGGGGAGGCGGAACAGCGCTGCGCGCAGGTGCTGGAGGAGCTGCTGGTCGAGCAGGCCTGCGGGATGCCAAGGAAAGTCGTGGAGACGCGCAAGTTTTGGCGCACGGTGGACTCGGAAGTACCCGACCCGCAGTTTGTGGCTGCCCTGGAGGCGGAAATTGCGCGGGAGAAGAACAAAAAGCGGCAGAGCGTGCTGCGAGAGCAGATGAGGAATGCCCCAACGGTTGTTTTTACACGACGGGAGATGCAAGAGGAGAGACTGCTAGCCGAGATTGTGGTGGGTCCCTACTTTACTTTGCACGAGGTGGCGCAGTTACTCGAGTATTTTTCCTCCTCCGTGGTTCGGCATTGGAGGCTGTTCCGCGCTTTTTTGGCCGAACCGCAGCCCGTCGAGACACACGAGGAGGTGCAAGTCCAGTGGGATGTGCGCGGGTTCTGTGTACCGCCGCTTGAGGAATTCCTGCGGGACGACATGTATGCAATGGCGCAGAAGCGACAAGGCCTCTTGAACGCATGCGAGGAGGCCATCACTGGCTCCTTTGAGGAGGAGTTTGAGCAGCCTCTTCGGCAGCTGCAGCGGGAGAAGGATGAGCTGTTGGCGTGCCTGCGCGAAAAGGAGCTCCAGGCGGAGGAGGATAACATTAGAAACGCGCTCGACGGCCCTGGTTACCTGCGGGTGGCCCGCAGTTTTCTGCTTCGCCTGAATAAGTGCATCGAGCGCAACGAGGCGGTGGGAAAGCTGGATGCTGTTGCGAAGCCGCCAGAGTCCGCAGTGCCAACACCAACGCAACCACCACAAGCAGGGCCCGCAGCTTCCACCTTGGCGGGAGCAAAGAAGAGGTCCGTTCAACCACGCAAAGGCTCCGCTCGCGCCAGAGCGGCGGGGAACCGTGCGTCGGTCTCCCCGGTGCCGCCCTCGCCGCCGCCGCCGCCGCCCCTGAACCCGGCGGATGCGGTGTTTTCGCTGGAGAAGGTGGAGGCGCGTCTAGAGCGACTAGAGCATGCCGCGCAGGCGGCGGTAGACGCTTTGCGCGACAAGGGCAAAAAGAAGCGTTCCCGCTGACGTCCAAAAAACAAACAAACAAACACACAATAGCGATGGCGCTTTGCTGGTCGGAGTTTGTCGCGGTGTTGTTGTTATCGTTGGCGGCGGCGCACGTTCTGAGGGTGCGCGTAAGAGGGAAGGCTGTGACGTTGCACGCATCTCTGCGCCCGTGTTTCCCGCTTTCCCTTCCTCCCCTTCTCTGTGTGGGACGGTGACGAGGAGGCGATGGAATGTAAACCAATACCATTTGCGTGGTCGCAGTCCACATTTTTTTTTTGTGTGTTAAATGCTCTTTCTTGACGCGTGCGCGGCAGCCACGCCACCCTCGCCTTCACCACCGCACCGCCTTTCGGGGCTGCCGCGGCTGCGTGGTGGACGCTGCGACGTGACGCCATTCCTGCGCTTTCTCCTCTGCCGCCTTGCCTCACTGTGTGGGCGTCAACGCATGCGTGCGCGTTTGCGATTCCCACAAGGCACGGACTCCGCAAAAAGGGCATCCAGGGCAACAGCATAAGATTAGACGAAGTGGACAAAGAAAGCGGTTCATGTTGGCCTTCTATGGAGGGGCGTGCGGGGCGCCGGCGGCGGCGTTTGCGGCCCTGCTGCTGCAGCGCCGTCACGTGGAGTACTGGGGCTCGTCGGTGACGGGGCGCACGCAGCCGTATGCGCAGGGTGACATGCTCCCCCGCGTGGATAACACGCGCGCCGCCGTCAATAAGTCCTCCGGCGCGGCCGCCAGCCTTACGGGAAATCACTTAGGCATCGCGTACGACAGCAGCAACATTTTTTCCGTCGAAGAGTACAGCCGGCTGGAGAAGGAACACTACCAGCCCCTGCGGGGTATCGCACGCTACAAGCTGGAGCCCATCAGCGCGAGCGATGGCCCGACCACGCGGCGACTGCTGCAGCAGCTGTACGAGGACCAAGTCGTCGGTATGGAGCTCGCTTGGTGGGGTGCCGTGCTCAAAGACTTTCCCTCTCTAAAGAGGCCGTGCACTAGTGAGTTTAAGGCCGAGTTTACGAACTTCTACAAGCAGGCCTTGGAGGTGGCCCACGACGAGGCCGCTGTGACGGCTCTTGCGGTGCCTTTTGTGCGGCACCAGATGCAGGATAATTTCATCAGTTTCCCGATGTTTTGGCGCATTGCGGAGAAGCTGGCAGACGCTCTGGAAGTGGCAGCTGCAGGACGGCGTCACGAGAAGCGCGTTTCCCGAATAGCAGTGGAGCGTGTTACAAAAATAGCATTGAACACAATCGCGGATGAGCCCTGGGCGCACCAGGACACGACAAGTCCCTTGCTTTTTGATGTGTCGAACTTCCGTGCGTGGCACGAGGCGGGCAACTGGTAGAGTAAGTGAGGCACGTGGGGGTGGCACCCGTTTGCCTTCACAGGCGGTCTTAGCTTACAGCCGTAGTAGTGGAAGTGGTAGTGGGAGTAGCAACCGCGGGGTGGGGGGTGGACGGGTTAGTCATGGTGTGGGACGGGGTACTTTGCGAGGGGCGCCGGCGGGTCTGCGGGAGTGGGAGAGAGACGGCGTGTGTGTGTGTCTGTGGGTGGATGGGTGGGTGGATCGCCGCAAAAATGCGCCCAAGCCCGCGTACAACAGCGGCCGCTGCGGCAGCAACAACCGACAACAACGGCAAGCACGATGCATGCACGCTTGTGCTGCTGCATGCTGCAAACGTTCTTTCGCCAGTGCACATCCCTCCTTTTATTTTTTCCTCCTGCTGCCGCTGCTGCTGGCGAGCCTTCATCTACTTTTTGTTTGTTTTTCTTTTCATGTTTGTCGAGTTGTTTGTTGCTATTATTGTTTTGTGCTTTGCTTTCCCTTTATTTCCGCCCCCGCTTATTTCGCTGTCTCTGTTTCCGCAGCGAGGAGGAGGGGAGAGAGGAAGACGGGAGAAGGCAACTTGTGAGGATGAACGCACGCAGGCAGGGGCAAGTCGGCTTTCGCGGTGGTCGGGATGCCGCCGGACTCTCCGTCGCGGCTCGCGGCGCTGGGCGCAGCGGCGACGCTGGTGGCCGAGGCTTTGCGCGCGGGAGGGGCCGCGGTCGCGGTGGCCGCGTCTTCCCCGCGGCAGCGGCGGTGACTTCGCTGGACGATGGCGACGACGGCGACGACGACGCGAAGGGGGCCGCCAGGCGGCCCGCACCCGTCCATAAGGCGCGGCACGTGACGACGACGCTGACGGAGGGCGGCACGGAGCTGCCAAAGAAGCTCAACAACAAGGTCTTCGTGGACGGTCTGCCGTACGAGCACAAGGCGGCGCCGGGGGCCTCGTCGCTGGAGGCGGAGCTGATGCAGTTCGCGGCGGCGTGGAAGGTTGGCAGACCCATCCGCCTCATCAAGAAGGACGGGCAGGGGTTTGGGTTCCTGGTCTTTCACTCCCCGCAGAGCGTGGAGGTGGCGGTGCGGGTGCTGAATGGGCGGAAGTTTCTCGGTCGCACGCTGCGGGTGGAGGTGCCGAAGCCAAAGGACATGGCCGCAATCGACGCAGAGAGCGGCCGCGACGCGGGGAAGAGTAGTTTTGCCCGCCAGGTGCTCCTGGCCGACCTGGCGAAAATCACGCAGCCAGAGATCGTGCGCGAGATACTGCGCGACGTAGCGCCGCAGCTGGAGAAGCGGCTTGAGTCGGTCAAGATGACCTCCAACAACAGAAAGGCGTTTCTGACGTTTGCGTCTGCCGACGACGTGGAGCCGGCAGTGCGGTTTCTGGACGGTTTCTCCATGTTGGGCCGCCGCATCACCGCCGCACGGGCCGCCGCGCCCGGCTCGCTGCCGTACTCAAAGTTGCCGAGCCACAGCCTGTCGCACGCGAGGAACGCGGCGGCGGCGATGGAGGCAGACGCCCGCGCCACGGCGCGGCCAGGGGGGAGTGCGCGCGGCGACGCGAAAGGGTCGGAGGACGAGGGGGCGCCGGTGCTGCCGTTAGGGGTGGCGCGGGCACCGGCCACGCGGCAGGCGGCGAGGGAGGGCAAGCCAAGCAACGTCACCGGCGTGACGGAGAAGTACAACCTGCTGGAGACGGGGCCGGCGGAGGTGTTCGTTGGCAACCTCGGGGAAGAGGTCACGGAGGAGCAGCTCCGCAGCCACTTCCACGCGTGCGGGCGCATCGTGAGCTGTGAGGTGCTCGTGAACAAAAGCACAAGTTTGCCAACCGGCATCGCGCGCATCGTCTTTGCGCTGCCCGCGTACGCCAGCTACGCGCAGAAGCACCTGCACGGGTCGCGGTTGCACGGCCACGTGATTCGCGTCGACCGCGGCGATGAGCAGAGCGCGCCGCTGGCTTCCGAGTCGGCGCCGCAAGACGACGACGAGGCGTTTGACGAGGACGGCTACATGGAGCGCTACGGCGTGAAGGACAAGGCTGCCTACTTCAAGGGAACCTCGCTCGAGGAGGGCAAGCGGAGTGGCAAGCGGAGGCGGGAGGCCGCCGCCGACGGCACGGCAAAGAAGAAGAAGGCGGAGCGGGGCGCGGCTGGGGCTTCGGGCGCCACTCCTGCCGGCGGCGCTGACGACGACGAGGAGGAGGAGGAGCGCTTCCAGGACGTGGACGGGGTTGCGGTGCCGGCGACCGCTGCGGCCGGGCGCCGCGGGCCGGGGAGGCGACGGGGCGCCGCGGCGCCGAAGCGGGCGGCGCGGGCGCAGCGGTCGTCCAAGTGAGCACCGCCTCGTGCGCTGAGTGATGACGGCGACGGTGTGGGCGAGCGTTAAAGTGAGACAAGGCAAAAAAAAAAAACAACAACAACAATGAAAAAGTGAAAGGTGTAAAATAACGGCATAAACACGAATAACACCAACCCGCACACACACACACACACACACACGTTCCTCGGTGGGTGGAAATTCGTACATATATATAAATATGTATATGTGTGTGTTTTTGCCAACCCGATGTTCCCATGCATGGGGGGGGGGTGGGGTGGGCAACGCCATTTGTACCCCTCGAATCTGCTGCTCATCGATTGCAAGCTCCTGGTGCGTGTTTTTTTCCCCCCTTTTTTCTTCTCTGTCTTTTCTTCCTCTTTTTTTTTTTCGTTGCTGCGGAACCAGGAAGGAGGCGCCCTTGGTGGTAGACACAGAGGGTGGTGGATGCATGCCGCCTGTAACGGGCCGTCCCATAGGCAAGAGCCCGGGCCCACAGCCCATCATTCGTCGTACCCGAAGCTGGCGGGGCATCATGCAGGTACGCTTTAACGACACGCGCGCAGACCGCAACCAAATATTAAGACATGCATTTCTGTGGGCACCGATGCGAATATTGGGTCTTGGCTGCCTCACGACGACTGTAATGTACTTCACCGTTGGCCATGATCGCTTCATGCACACGCTCTTCGGCTATGAGTCGGAGATGCACTACGAGGCGCGTGTGAACCCCGACGCAAGCGTCGTCTTTGGTGATACGATGCTGGACAAGGACCGCGCCTGGAAGTCCCCACTGCGTGAGTTAGAGATGCCGCTGCATCCCAAGCGACAGTTTGACGTGCTGCGGGACCCCAACTCCACATGAGCCCCTGTAGGCAGGACCAGCCACTTCTGGAGAGTGGGGCCCCTCCTGGGTTGGACCATCACTCCATTGGTGATACCGAGAACGTTTGTATTATCCGTATTTTTTTTCTTCTTTATTTCCCCTCTCATGTTGCAGGCTGTAGCCTTCATGCTTCTCACTATATATATACATATATTTCTTTCTCTCCATCGCTCGCACATACACACACGCATGCACATTCGCGTATGCGCCTCGTCGTGTTGTTTTTCGTTTGTGCCTCTCTTCAGCAGAGAGGAAGCTTTCCGTAGCGTGGGAGTGGGGAGTTCACATCGTCCCGGCACACAGTGGGGAGGGATACGCGTGCATACCGCCCATTGCGAGAAGCGGAGCGAGGGCGAGGGCGAGTGACGACATCGTTGACGACTTGCTTCGTCACAATGACTGGACTCACCGAGGACGAAATCCGCGGCTCACCGCTGTGGCAGCACATGAAGAAGGTGCTGCTGCAGGTTGTGCAGCAGCAGCCGAGCAGTGCGCTGGACGCCATCGTCCCCGCCTCCTTCGTGGTGCAGACGGGCGGCGCCGTGCCGCCGCACGTCACCACCATCTACGCCGACCATCGCCCGCGGGTCTTCAACACCGTCCCGCCCGACGCGCTGGAGAACCTGCGGTGGGCGTCCAGCTTTGGCAAGGTGCTCGCGCCGCCGAAGCCCAGACGCAGACCAACGGAGGAGGATGAGGAGGCGCCGCCGGAGGAGGAGGACGAGCCCGAGGAGGAGGTGCTGCCCGGCGAGGTGAGCGACGTGGTGGGGGAGCAGGCCGTCTTCAACTCCGTCGGCGAGGGGCTGCAGCCGGAGGAGGCCTTCCGGCTCGTGGTGGGGATGAAGCAGCTTGTCAAGATGGAGCCGCTGGCGACGGCCCGGTTTTGGGGCAAAGTCTTCGGCGCCTCCGCGGACTACTACATTGCGGAGACGAAGATCGACCCGGAGCGGCTGCCGGAGGAGGAGGAGGACGACGGCGCCGCGGAGGACGAGGAGGAGGAGGGGGTGCCCATCGACAACGTCGCGGACGTGCTCTTCTCCCACGGCGCGAGGCGGCGGGCAGACGCGGGGACGGAGCCGGCCGGAAGCGGACTGAACGAGTGGGTGTACTACGCCGCGCTGACGACGGACCCCACCAGCTGGACACGGCTGCCGGAGGTGACGCCGAATCAAGTCATCGTCGCTCGCCACATCCGCCGCGGCTTTACGGGGGACCTGGAAAGCGTCGTCGCCACCCACCCGCACTTCCCTGGGAGGGAGAAGAACTACCTGCGGGCTCAAATTGCCCGCATCAGCTGCGCCTGTCGGGTGGCGCCGCGTGACATGTACACCACCGAGGGGGCGGTCCCAGAGGAGGAGGACGAGGACGGGAACTTGCTGCCGCCGCCAGAAACCGTCAAGGCCTACACGACGCTGCCGCCGCTTAACCCGCAGGAGGTGCCGGACGAGGAAGACGGCGAGGCCATCGAGCCGGTCAAGTCGTGGTTCTACGGCTACCGCGACGATGAGCTGCTGCAGGGCAAGTATTGGGTGCACATTGCCCCGACGCTGTTGAAAACCGGCCGAACTGTCGCGGTGGAGACAGAGGAGCAGCAGGGGGAGGTAGACGTCGATCACTCGGAGAAGATACATCCGTTTTTGTGTGATGTCAGTCGTGACAACCCCTTGACCTATGCCTCGCACAGCCGTAGTCAACTGCCCGCCTGGAGCTTCCGCAAGGCTTTTCACAATGAGAGTAGCAAAACATTTACGTATGTTGCCAGGTCGGGCACCTGGCCCGGTGCCTTCACGTACGCTGTGACGGAGTTGGGCCAGCCGGGCAGCCGATACCAGAGCGTTTACATCGGCACCGGCCTCAAGAGCCTGCATGGCGTGAACTACGCGCCACGGCTGCCCCCACGCTGCCTCGTGGAGTACCCAGAGATCGAGTTGCTCCTGCAGCGCGATGGAACGGCAGACGATGAGCTGGAGTACGCCCCGCCACCCCCAAAACCGGAGGCTTCCGAGGAAGAGGAGGAGGAGGAGGCTTAGAGGGCACAAAACAAGAAGGGAAGGAAAAAAAAAAGAATGAAAGAAAGTGAAGGGAGGAGCAGCGAAAAACAAACAAACAGACAACAATAATAGAGTTTTCCGATTTACCGAGTATGGATGCTGTTCTTTACTCATGATGTTTATAGTTCATGGGAAATGGGGACTTTCCCGTCAACCGTTTTTGTATTTTTCTTTTCTTCTCTCCCTCTCTCTCTCCCTGTCTCCACCTCCGTGTTCGTCCCTGTTGCTCTACTGTTCCTTCCACGCGCTGTGGGAGGAGCGGCAGTGCGCGGAGCAAATCAGCAAAGCGACAAAACTAATGGCTGAGTTGTGTGTGTGGGGGGGAGGGGGAGGGAAGAGGAGGAATCGCGGCACGTTGGATGGTCAGGATGTATGCCTCTTTCCCTCTCTCGAGGCGCATGCCTTTTTTTTTTGTCTTGCATGCCTCGATGCCTCGATTCCACACACACCCGTTTGGGGCCGGGGCGGCCCGCTGCTGTTTTCTGCGGCTCATGTGCAATTGGAGCCACATGTGGCGTGATGCATCTTTATACATATTTCTCTGCGTCTGTCTTCTTCCTTATTCCGCGGCAGGAAGCTACCGGGGGAGGGTGCTGCAGCCAAAAGTCCGTGCGTGGCGAAGGAGGCAGGGCTAACGCAAAGGGATCCAGCTGGGACTGCGTGCGTGGCAGTTTACTTTGCCAATTGTTTTGGTACGACATTTAGCGAGGGGGAAGCAGCAGCAGCAGCAGCAGCAGCAGGGCGTGAGAGGTGTCTCCTGACGCAGCAACGCCTACGCGCACGCACCTGCACTCGCTCCTCGCTGTCGAGGAAATACGGCAGGGAGGAACGCCAGCAGGGCACGTGTGAGGTGTGCGGGGGGACGGTCGTAGGGAAGTTAGGAAGGCCCCGGCGCCGCGTCTGAAAAAAAAAGCCGAACAAAAACATAAGCGGAAATAGAAATGCATGGAACGTGCAGCCTCCCGCTCAGCCGCTCCCTTCCCCTGGTGTGCATTTGCTCCCTGTTCAGTTTCCTTTGCGGCGTCGGTATCGGTGCGAATGACTTGAGTGCAAATTTTGCCATGGTGGTGGGAAGCGGCTCCCTAAATATGCGTCAGGCAGTTGTCTACTGCACGGTGTTTGAGCTGCTCGGCGCCGCTTTCATGGGTGGGCGCGTTAGTGGGACGATTCGCACAGGCATCGTCGACCCTGCCTTGTTCACCATGGACGAGGACATGGTGCTTATCGGCATGACATGTGCAAGTTTTGCGGCGGCTCTGTGGCTGTACCTTTCCACGGTATTTGGTTTGCCCGTGTCCATCACCCACACGGTGGTGGGGTCCATCATTGGATTTGCCGTCTTCTCCAGCGGCTCCTTCAAATACTTGCAGCCGCGCGGCGTCGCAAAAGTTCTGGTTTCATGGCTTTTCGCCCCACTGGCGGCGGTCGCAGTGACGGCGGGTATCTTTTACGTTCTTCGCAAGTACGTCTTGCGGGTGAAGGGGAGATCGTTTCAGAACGCCTTATGGGCGTTGCCCTACTGTCTTGGTTTCTCCCTCCTCATTGATCTCATGTTTGTCGTGATTGAGCAGCCGCCTATTCTCACCGTGTCACTCGCGAGATTCCTGCCCATCGAGGCCCAGTACCTGATTTTTCTTGCGTCGATTCTCTTGTCATGCTGCCTCCCCTCCTCGCTGCTCTTCCCGCGCCTGGCGGAGGAGGCCTGGGAGGCAAACTCGTTTGTGTGGGAGTCGGAGAAGCTCTGCACGGAGGCGGAGGCTGAGGCGGAGGCGGAGTCGGAGGCGCGAGCTGCGACTGACCCCCCCGAGGCAGTGGCCGGAGATGGACGTCTGCGAGCTTCGTCCTGCGCTCCGCCCCACGATGCGGCGGCGGCCTCCGGGACCCCCGCGGCGCAGCCCGGCAGGATGTCGCCTCTGCCACGGCGGGTTACGGCGCTGCTGCACGGCTCAGGTAGCTTCTTCCTCTCGACCGTGGACTCGGATAACGTGGAGCTGCTTCCTCGGCGGAGCGTTCGGGCGGCACCTGCGGGACGCGCTGCGCCGCATGCGGATCTCCATTTGATGAAGAAGACCGAGACGGAGACCGCGTCCCCGGCGCCCCCTGTCTCCTACGGCGCGGTGCTGAACGTAAAGGATGCGGAGGATTCGCCTCTTGTGGTGGAACTGAACGATGCGTTTGTGGAGGAGGACTGGGGGATGGACCACCCGATGCAGCCGATAAACTTCCGTGGGTTTCTGCTTAAACCATTTAATCCACGTGCGGAGTACCTCTTCACCGCTCTTCAAGTCGTCGCGGGCAGCATGTCGAGCTTCGTGCACGGGGCAGTGGCTGGGGCCAATGCAACGGCCGCCTTTGTTATTCTGTATGACACGTTTGCGGTGTCGGAGCTTGAGGAGCAGCCGCTTGGCAGCAGTTGGACCGTGTTGCCGGCAATGCTGGGTATCGCCATTGGCATGTTCTCGCTGGGGGCACGCCTGATGAAGACGGTCGGCATGGAGTTGGTGACGGTGACCCCGACGCGTGGGTGGTGCATTCAGGTTGGCGGCACCCTCGTCACAATGGTTCTCACTGGCATCGGAATTCCCGTCTCCCTGTCGCAGGCTCAGGTTGGCGCGGCAATTGGCTGCGGTCTGCTGGACGCACGCGCCAAAGGTGTGGAGTGGGGCGTCGCTGTGAAGATTGTCTGCGGGTGGGGGGTGACACTCGCGATCAGCGCCGTCACAACGGGCGCCTCCATGTGGCTGCTCGCCTACTTTTACTGCGCCTAAGGCAACGCGTGTTGCCGCCCTGCGTGTGCTCCTCTGCGTGTGCGTGTGCATATGAGTGCAGGCATATATGCATAACTCTGTGTGTGTGAGAGAGGAGGAGAGAGAGGGAGGAGAGGTGGGAGAGACGGTACGTGGGATGGGGCGCTGAGGAGCAACAGCCGCAGCAAGGCACCTAGAAGGATAAGCAGTGCAGCAGACTGTTGTTGCTTCGCTCTGTGCGCCGCACCTGGCTTCTGCTGTGGAAGGGAGGGGGCGGAGTGGGCCTCTTCTGTTGTTCCTACCCTTGCGCCAAACGACTCCACATCCTCCGCTGCTCCTTCTCGGCCTCTGCGCCGCCGCCGCCGCTGCTGCCGCTGCTGCCGCCGTGCGAGCAGCGAACCAAGTCAAGAGAAGGACTACGCCAGAGACAAGGCAAACAAAGGGAAACGGTAGGCACCGAAGACACGGACAGACACGCTGCCTGACTTGTGGGTCCTTGGCACGGTAGGCGGTTCTTGTTTGTCTTTACTGTTTTTTTCTTTCTGCTCTTTGCTGCGCTGCGCTGCTTAGAAGCGATGACGTTGCGGATGACTTTCCTGCGGCTGTCTGGCGCCGCTGGCCGCCCGGCGAGGGGTGCTGCGACTGCGGCCGCCGGGGCGCCGCGCACCCAGTTGCCGTTTCTTCGCAAGGTGGTGCAGGACGCGCGGCGCTCCCCCAACACACACCAAAGCGACACCCCGTTCAGGCCGTACCCCCCGCCCGGCCCCGGGGAGGAGAGGCAGCGGGGGAGCAGGGTGCTCTACAAGGACCCGCAGTGCATCATCGTCAACGACGCCTACCCAAAGTCACGGCTGCACTGCGTGGTTCTGCCCTTGGACACTTCGTTACACTCCCTCAATGCCTTGCGCGTTGAGCACGTGCCGCTGCTGCGCCACTTTATGGATGTCGCGGATCGCTACGTGCAGTTTCTTCGGAAGAACCCAGTGGGGACGGATGGCGCGTCGCTGGCGTTTGCCACCGGCTTCCACGCGCTCCCGTCTCTGCCCCACCTGCACATGCACCTCATCTCCCTGGACTTTGATAGCCCGTGGCTGAAGAAAAAGCGACACTACAACAGCTTCGCCACCCCCTTTTTTCTCCCCGCAGACAAGGTGTTGGAGGACTTGGAGCAAAACAAGCACATCACGTTGAACCAAGACGTAGCGGGGCTGAAGCGGATGGAGGAAGGGGGACTGCGTTGTCTGTGGTGCGGCCACGACGAGGTGGGGATGCCGCAGCTAAAGGCGCACCTGCGCACGTGTCCCAAGAGCCGTGCCTTTTCGGCAGCATCTGGCGCAACGTGACAGCTTGGCAGGCGCAGCGTGTGTGCGGCTGTTTCTCGTGGGACTAACGGCAAGAATGGCGAACGTCCTGCCCTCAATTCGGTGCGTGTGTGTGTGTGTGTCGTGGCGTTCATTGTCAGTGTGCGTTGACGCCAGCCGGTTACTACTACTGCGGCTGTGGGGTGTTTTTTTTTTGAAGTCGTCTGGTTACTGTTTCCCGTTCTTCGCTTCTTTTTGCTGTTTTTGGTTCCCGCCGCCGCAGTTCTTAGGAGGAAAGCAGAGGGGCGTGCGTGTTCGTTCCTCCTTCCCAGCCCCGCCCCGCCCCGCCCCCTCCTCTCCGCCAGGTCTCTTTGCCGACCGCGTGGGGCGCATGCGGCCGCAGAGCTCCGTCTTTCGCCACCGCGCCCAGCTGCACGAGGAGGCTGAGTCCGGTCGCGCGAACGCCGGTGTGATCAGCGAGGCGACGGAGGAGGAGAACGACGAGCTGATGCGGGCGCTGCTGGGCGACGTGCGCTCCGTCCGGCACAAATTCACTGCGATGGGGGCGGAGGTGCGGCGGCAGAACACGCTGCTGGACGCGCTCGACGCGGTGTTCGGCCGCACCCGCGCGCGCCTTGGGCGGACGCTGCGGCAGTTGGACGTGGCGGGGGTGACGAGCGTCACGCACATGTGGGTGCTGTTTGTATTTGTCCTCCTCGTCTTCCTGCTGGTGTACGCGATGCTGAAGCTCCACTGACGCCGCCCCACCTGCCCGCGGCCGCCGTGCCCAAATGCGCCCCCCCCTCCCCCTCTCCCCCGTATATATATACACACACACACACACGCACGCACGCACGCACGCACGCAGGTATACGTCTGTGTGTATATGTTCTCTTTCTGTGCGGCTCCGCGCGTCCGGCTCCAACGCGACTGCCCGCAGGCGCGCCCACACGCATCCTCTTGCGCCGCGTGCACGTCTCTCCCCTTTTTGTTTCTTTTTTTTTTGCCTCTGAGAGTAGAAGGGAAAAATAAAAGACACACAGACGCGAAAGGAAAGGAAAGAAGGAGGTGAGTGCGCCGCGCCAACGCACTTGCCACGGTAGTAGCAACAAAGTAGTACCAACTCCCACAC